ATGGGGCTGCAGCAGTGGCCGGGCGATGCCGTGGCCGCCTGCCATGGCTCCGGTGCCTCCGAGTGACACGGCGATAAAGAAAATAGTGAAATACATTCAGTGTGTAAACGCCAGGGAATGAGGTTATCACTTGCGGCACTGCAAAGCGCGGCTCCAGCCATGGAGTGCTCGTAGCAGAGCCGCGGGAGGAGTCGGGGGATGCACCCCCCCCCCCCCCGCACCCAAAGTACATCCAGGGGCAGGGAGCTGCCGCGGTGCCGGCGATTTTAACATTATGCCTTCAGATGCTGTACCTCTTATTTAGCTTTCTGAGCCGTGTTTTAAAAGAGTCGCTGCATATTTTGTGTATTCTGGGAGACAAACAGACACATAAAACTAAGAAGAAAGAACACGTAAATATTGCGGAGTCATCTGTTTCCAATAGGGTGTGTTTACATATTAATGTGCAATACAAATTTGTAAACATGAGCATTTGAAACTTTTGTAGGAACTGATACTGGCCTTTTCCCTTTCTGCAGCTTTATTGGAACAGCATGTCCCCCCTGGCCCCAGCCACACATGTACATCGTTTTAATACTGGATGCATTTCAAATGTTCTGGGTGCTTATTTGTTCTGGTCTATCTTGCTATCCAATCCTCGTTTGTTTTGCATAATTGTGATACAAATTATCATCTAATTACAGACCAAACCTCAGAAGATCAAATGTAAACCAAGGCACTTCCATCAGAAAAAGCTACATCTGACGCTCCCTCTACACGTTTGGCTTCTTAAATTTGGGTGAAACTGGATAGTAAACTGCACTTTGATTAAAAACATTATCGCTGGGGGTTTTTGTCTCCTTGGTTTTTAAATCAACCTCCCGGTGTCGGAGCACCGAGCCCATCCCATGCCCCCGCGTCGAGTACGGGCGCGACGCCCTTGGTACTGCCAGTTTTATTTGCCGAGCGCTATAAATGTGATCAGATATTCCCGAGTAACCTCAGACTCCTCTTGGGAAAGGTCAAATGACTAATAGCGAAGAATGTTCAGCAAGTTCAATCTTTAAAAAAATCTTTGATGATTTTCTCCCTGTTCCCATTTAAAAATAGCACGGTAACACTGGGTTTATATTTGTATTCACCCACTAAGTCTAAAGAACTGTGAACTTTTGCAATTGCCACAGATTTCCAAACAACGTTACGGGGAGGAAGTACAAAGCAGCATGTAACGTGTTTGTATTTACAGGCGCATGGTCCCGCTTGGAATATTGACCTCGATTCCCCCAGTTTCACATTTGATAACTAATGGTTTATCATACTGACTTACTCTCTCGAGTTCTGCCCCTCACCTCTCACCAGCAGCCCTTCTACAAAGCACCCCCAGAAAGTAGCGTGCAGGTTATCCACTCTTTTGGGCACAGTTTTTCTCATACAAGCAGAACCATCTACGTTACCGTGTGAGCGATTCAGCTGAATTACCATTGCGGGTACGGAGACCACTCCCTTGCTGGGATGGCCAGGGAGCCTTGGCCGGCTCCGAGGTGACAACGTGGGATTCAGGACAGAGACCTATGACTGCCTGAAAATACCGATTTGTTTTGTAAAGAGCCACCAGCATCTTTTTTATTTGTTACAGTGATATTTGAAAGGATAAACCAGGAGATAAAAGCAAAGGAAATAGAAAGTAACCTCAGATAACCCAGATCTGACAGTGTCTCTCACGTCGTGCTGACCTCTCGTACGGACCTAATTAGCATTTATATGTCTGCCTCACCCATGTTGATGACCGCTGCATCCTCCCCGGAGCTCGGTGCCAGCACTCAAGGGACGCGGGTGCCGGTGTCGCGCATCCCTTGCAGGGACCAGGCTCTGGACGTGTTTTCCGTGTGGCTGTGATCAGGGAGGGTGGCAAAAAACGGGCTCCTACAGGACCAGGCGCATCGAAACCCAACCCGATTCCACTGGCATTAGCTGAGCAATCGCTGTTGGAGCGTATCACCCCAACGCTGGGTTTGTAGTTTCATACCAAAAGGCACAGAATAAACAAGCAGCTCTGGGAAGCCCCGTGCCCGGCTGCAAACGCGCTGGGTAGGAATGAAGTGGGTCCCGTCAAAGAGAGCATTTGCTCAGCTGCAGTAGATGGAATTTATCTCATCCAAATTTAAATATCTATCGCTGTAAAATTGTCCGTACTGAAAATATCTGTTCTACTCAATATCAGTCACGTTTTTAACTAGACAGACACTGATCTGTTGGATCACCAGCTCATGGCCAGCAACTCTGGAATATCTTATGCAACTGCAAATATTTGGAAAATTGGAAGTTACCCATTGCATCCACCCACAAATCCGTGACTTCCAGCTCCCCAAAAGCATAACCACATGTGGGGGCCGGTACTCGGTCACTCAGCCCAGGAGATTCGTCCCGGGGAGCAGAGATGTGCAGCGCTTTGCAGAGCCCGTCCCAGCGCCTGCAGTGCACTCGCCCGCGGGAACTCGGCCACCACTGGTGATGGGTGATGGCTTGGAAATAAGGACTCCCGAATGAAAAAAAGTTTCCTTTTTTTTTTAATAAAAATAGTGAGATAAACTGCTAAGAAACAGCACGAGAAAGCAGGTTTGTTCATTTTTACAGTTGTACAGACCGTTTAGCAAGGCAAGCGCGGCCCACCGTTCATACTGGTATCGCTAGGGGCTCTGTGAACACTCAAAGCAGATAAATTAGGGAAACCAATGTTGGTTGATTTTTAGCAAAGTCTCATGAAAGTAAAAGTGTGACTTTTTGTTATTTTAACAGCTTTTGATGGTGCTTGTTCTGTTCTTAATTTGTTGTCTCTTATGGATGAAAATAAAACCAAAACTCTGATACCAACTCGATTCTTAAACCTGCGCTTAATCCCTATATAGTGCTGTGTTATGTTTGTAAATACAGAATTCTCTTATCTTAATCCCAAAATGCAGCCAGTCCCAGTCAAGCATTATTTTCAAATCTCTGTTATATATCAAGTAATAAAATTGGCTTCAGGTAGGGACTGAGCATTGGTCAAATAAAGAATAAAATCTGTGCCCAAATTTATTGTGAGTTATATTGTGCCCTTGGGAGCTAGAGATTATTTACAGGAATAACAAGAATATCCACAGGTTATAATAAAACAAACAGGACTTTTGGAAGGAATTGAAAATCTCATGTTTCGGGGCCCGTAGAGTTGTAACTCTCCAGAAAGAATCTGCGTTCTCCACCGGACCGAGCCAGGAGCATCCCTGCCCCTTCCCTTGGGCACAGGCTGGCGGATGCGATCCCAGGTGGATCTTCTGTGTCCCCCGGGGCTGAAAGTGCTGGGTAGGAGGAGCGTCCTGCAGGGCTCCCGGAGGTGTTTCATCCCACACAGCTCTCTGAGATGTATCCCCCATGTCCCCCAGCACGGACCCAGCTCACCATGGGGGAGATGTGTGACCACCCGTCCTCTGTTCCTTCCCACCATGTTGTCAGCGCTGGTGCCGCTCTGCGCTACCACCTCCTGGAGACCTCCAGAAGCAGGAGCATGGAGAGGAGGGCTCTTGGGGCACCCCTGCATCAGGCTCCACTGTCTCATCCCCACAAGGTGGGAAGACATCTGTCTTTTATCCCGGCTTTCTTCACCTCGGCAGCAGGTACTTGAATTTACATCCCCACTCCGATAACTGAGTCATCTGGGTCCTGGAGCAACAAGGCACTTTCATGTCATTAATTAGGACCCATTAAAGCCAAGGGAACCTGAGAACATGCTCGAGCACTTGGCCAAATACGGCTCCTTTGCTGACTCAAGGTCTCACATAGTCCCTTTGAAATCAGTGGGAAAACTCAAGTAGGGTGAGCAGCAGCTCACTAGGGCTTTGAGCTAACTAAAGGCAAGCTAGATAGAGAGTTTCAGGAAAACATATCTGTAGAAATGTATACGTCTACGTTCCCACTTCAGAGTGCAAATATGAAAAAGGTGACTGTACAGTTTGCTCTTAACCTACAACCATGACATAAATATGACCAAAAGGTATCGCCTTGCTGTGGATCATCTCAGACCCTCCGCGCTCCCGGGTCCTCCACCCTCCCAACAACACGACACGTTTGCCCACAAAAAAAGTTAAATGCCTAGACATACCGCTCCTGTACCATGCAGTATTTCATAGTCAATAACTCGCAAGCCCTTGGGTATGAAGGAAGGAAAGGCTTGCTTTACATATCAATGCTTAGAAATATTATAGAATTCCACTAAAGGCAATGGTTAATTGTCGGGTGCCAGTTAGAGTGATTACATCTGCCATCTCTCAAAGAAGCTGGAATGCTGTCACTCACTTTGAAATGGCTTGCTGCATTCATCAGTCTGGATGGCACGGAGAAGTTGTAACCGTACAAGCCATATGGAGGATGTAAAGAACAATTAAGTGCTTCCCGAGCAATGGGACTTGATGGGAAAATGTTTCCAGATGCATGTAATCCGTACAGCATTTGACTAGCAGAATTGGGTACTTGTAGACATTGCCCGTTCAAGTCTTCAGCTTTAGCATTTTTCAGATTGGTTATGCCGAGGGAAGATAGTTTTGGCATATCCACCGTGAAGTGGGGTACAAGATGCGGGTTGGTGCCTCCCAGTTTTTCATGGCTTGGAAAGATGAGAGACTGTTGTCTTAAGAAGCTCGTAGGACAAATCTTGTAGTAGAGGGGCACGTTGAGGTTGTGTAGGTAGGTCTCGGGGCACGACACGCCAATGTTGCTCGCTGACAAGTGAAACGTAGGAGGTGAGCACGATGGAGAAAGCAGGGGGTTGAGAGGAGAGGGCGTCCCGCCGCTGGAGGTCACCGGCGAAGAACTGGACCTCCCACCTGAAAACGAAAACAGAAATCGTCCAAGCTGGGCTAGCTGATGTTCACAGCCAAGGAACCCTTGGAGGACTCCTGCTCCCACTCTGCATCTCCCCGCTGCCGGTGTCTGTCCAAGCACAAACCCGCTCCAAAAATCAGCTCCTGGAAAATGGGAAGATCTGTCCATCGATTATTTGTTGTTGTTACTTGGCACTTGTCTAAGAACGATATTCACACATGTCTCATCCCATTCATTTGACCGGGACAGCTGTGACGTTCAGCTCCACACATACAGGTACCTGCCGGGTCTGTGCCTCGCTATACGACCGATACCTTCTCCTGCTATACATACGCCATGGCTATTTTAGGCTCCCTATTTTTCGTGCAAATTACAGGCAGCTTTTTCCCCTTGTATATAAGAACAAAAAAACGTATTCAGCCTGATGGAGAACTTTTTTGTACCTTCCTGCTCACAGGAATTGACTAATTTTACTTGGCTTCCCATGCAATTTGAAACAGATACCTGAATACTATAGGTGTCTCCAGAAACTTTAAATGCACGTGTCATTTTAACGTTCTCCTTTCTGAAATGAATCAATGAACACTTTCATAATTTAGTAGAAAAGCAACACTGGCTTGCTTCACACGTGTGAGCGCTGCCGAAGCCGCTGGTGTATAACATCACTGTTCAGCACCGGCTCGCCGCTCCTCCGGAGCAACACGAAGAGCAAAAACTGAGAGGCGACGGCTGCTCTGGCGTGGGAATGGTGCTCCGGAGCGGCCGTCCCTGGTGCTAAACAGATGCTGGTTTCATCTAACGCCATTTAAGAGCTGTATGTCTCTGCTGCACGTTCGTTAGGGCGTGGGAATGGTGCTCCGGAGCGGCCGTCCCTGGTGCTAAACAGATGCTGGTTTCATCTAACGCCATTTAAGAGCTGTATGTCTCTGCTGCACGTTTGTTACCACATTCTTCTAGAGGTTTTCTTCCCCCCCCTTATTTTCATTTCTTACCAAAGTCACTGGAAAAGGAAGGAAGGGAACGTGAGTCCATTTTTGCTCTACGTTTTTCTCTATTTACATTTAATTCCAAGTGCTATACTGTCTGGATGTGATCTGGTCAGGCTTTACATGCAATCAGCAACACAGAATCCACTGTATAACCACGCCACATCTGCTAGTATATCAAACCTTAAAAAAACACGAAGATTTTGGACGTGGCGCAAGTTAATTTTGCAAACTCCCAGCAAACAGAGTAGCTCACAGCTTGGGTAACGCGCAGGCAGCACCTATTCGCAATAATCCGGGAAGGTTTTACGGCTTGAACGTCTCACCCTTCCCCGCTGATGTCAGCGGCTGTTTCAGTACTGACATCAGCAGGAGTGGATGCAGGGCAGGGATCCGGTCCCCTCCCGATGTACACGTCCCCTGACGTCCTCCCAGGACTCAGGGACTTTCGGTCATGTAAAATGATGTGATTGAGCCGATATTTGTGAGTGCGAGGCAGCGAATGAGTCCCTGTGCAGCTGGCTGTAGCAGAGCAAACGAGTGTTAGTATTTGCTTCGAGGCACCCTAAGCAATAATATCACGCAACTTCCAGCACAAGTTTGGGAACGGGGATCACAGCGGGGAGGACGGAGCAGCTCAAAGAGCAGATTCTTTCTGCCATTTCTATTAGGCTTAAAAGTCCCAAGTTTATGGCCAATTCTTTCTTCAGCATATTGTTCATGCTTTCTTTTAATTTGCCTTCTGGTTTGGGGGCTTCAGGATTTCTATTTTTCAGCTTTTCTTCAGAAATACAGTTTTATTATTAGTGGAAATGGAAATTTTGTTATATTTACATCGGTCCAGGAAATTGACCCTGAAGGAAAATACCAATTACATTAAGACTAGCAAAAAACTCCCAGGAAGCCCTAATATTTTAGCAGCTGTACAATAATCATTGCAGTTGCTGTTCTCTCATTCCCCATCGCAGCCCATCCACCAGCTCCTCTCCTCGGACCCGCGTCGCAGCCTGCAAAATGGGTTCAAAAGGGGCTTTTTGCAGAAGGTCTTTTCTAAATTAAAAAAAATAATAATCTAGCTCTCTTTACAACCCGGTAAGCCTCTTAATTTCTCCCGAGTCTGATTTTTTTACGCCTCCGCATTTCTACGCCTGTACAGCCTGGATTTTTGCTGTGATTTTTGCAGTATTTCCCTGCAGAGACGGGAACGATTCAGTGTGCCCCAACACAAATGTCTTTGAGGAGTTCCTAACATAAATAAGAGTTAAACTGGCGACTTTAAACCCAAACTGGAGCCCTCCAGCGTGCAAATGCTTGCTTAGTTTTTTTCCTTCGGCGCTGTGAATAATCAGTTTTCAAATACTATTTCCAAAAGCCGTTTTTCTGGAAGAGGGCTGTAAGAGGCCGATGTGCGCTTGTCAGGCGGAGGGAAATCGTTTTCCCTGAAAAACTTTTCCCTCTTCCCTGCATTTCCGCGGAGTTAACGGACTGTGGGACTGCTACATCCTAAATAAGAGGTAATTTTATTTTCTGTTGCATAATGCGTTTGTTCGCACGGAAGGAGCAGGCTAGAGGAGACACCAGTCGTTATTCTCACGTTTCGAGCTAATATTCTCAAACGGGTTGGAAACAATTAGTGTAACAGGATCAAAGCCGTAACGACCCGACTCTACATTAGCCTCCCGCATACTCAGATATTTTTTCCTGCGCATCCAAATCCGATTTCTGCCAGGTGATGAAGCCAGACCGCGCCCTTGCCCTTCTCCTCCCGGGGCGAGCGCTCGGCTCCTCAGATCGGTTCTAACAGGAGTTTTTGCCGAAAACGCGTGGAATCGCCTTCCCAAAGCGTTACGTTGGCCGCCGGTTCGTTTTCTGGACCCACCT